CAGCTGATATTTCTCTCCAGGATGGAGTCACAGCCAAACAGGAACAGACCAGATGAAGCTACTATGAGAAAAAGCAGAGAGAGCAGAACGGTAGAAAAATCATAAACAAAATCATAACCTGCGTTTTTTTTAAGAATGGGGTAACATGTCCAACTCTTCAGAAGTTTTGTTCAGCTGGAGTAGTTAAAGAAAAAGGCTCACAAAGGTTGCAGACTCCTCCTTAAAAATGTATTTAATGGCGATGCAGAATCACCTGAATCCCCTTAATGGAGACACAAAGTTCAGCTCTCAGAGATTTCTGATTTTTTGTCAGTGGATGATTTTCAATATTACAGTAGTGCTAAATGGCTGCAGAGAGGAGGAAACAGCCTTTTAGACAAGAAGAAAATATAATTCAACAGCTCCCTCTGGTGGAAGTAGCAACACATGACAGCTTAGCTGCTGTTCTGTTATTCAATGATTGTTTTAGCAGTTTAACATGATTGATTTGTTTCTTTCTTGACTCCATCAGATATCAACATGGCAGGAGAACCAAGGCCAAGCAGACCCAAAGGCCTGAAGCGATCATCCGCTGCCCTCTACAAGTATGTCCTGTCATTAACTGAATTTTATGTCAATCATGTTTTCTACGCGAAAAATGAAGGAATAATAAAAATTTTGAAAAAAATCATAAATTATAAACCAGAATATGCTCAATTGATAGTTTTCAAATAAAAATATTATTATTTGGGAGTCATGTAGGCTGAATGTTCTCTTAAAACCCCTAAGAACTAGGAAAAGTAAAGACAGTAAAAAAAAAAAACACTAACAGAAAACTGGATTTGTTTTCTGATTCCATTTTATTTTTTTTAACTACCAATTTTTCACATTTCTGTCTTTTTTAAGATTAATATCTTTGCTGTCAGAGAGACTCCAAATCCCCATGCACCTCCATCAAAAAGATAAATGAATAAAAACTATAAAAGGGCTATATGTTTTTTTATTTTTGTGGTCTGAAAAGATTTGTTTTCATATCTCTTTTTTTTTCATTAAATGCTGTCCTTGAACTTTGTGTTTTTGCACAGTCTCTAAATAGCTGTGCCATTTTTGTTTTTCCTCAGTGGCTATGAGTTTGACTACGATTACTACAGAGAGGACTTCTATGACAGGTGAGACGACGGCGTGTTTAGATTAAAATGATTTATTTGTTTGTTGTTATTCCAAGATACACAGAATAGAAGCAAGAAATAAACCTACATCATTAAAGATGACTGTTTAAATTTACCTTTTATGAGTGAAATTAATGAACACTGGGCATGCTGCAAAAAATAATAAGTGCACAAATTTCAGTTTGATTCAGTTTATTTCTATAGTACTAATTCAC